TGATCATGCAGACAATGGACCCCGGACTAGGTGCGTTCCAATAAGTCTTCCTACCAATATGATCATGTTGTGAAAACAAGGTCAAACAACCTTTATACAAAGTTATATTTGCTGTAGCAATCGACTACATTACTTATTTTTCTTATGTAAATATGTATGCTTTATTGGTAGTCTCGTAAGCCCACTTGCAATCGAAAAATAATTAGTGTAGTTAATTACTATAGCATATATAGCTCTGCTTCATCGACAATCCTACCACATACTATAATCTGGTAAAATGCCTGGCCTTCCTTGAAATTCACATCTGCTCTATGAACCAGGGGCATCCATAGTGATGGTAACTTATCTAAATTATCCGCTGCACTACCCGAGTCCGAATCCTACGATGGGTACGATAAATATATCTAAGTGAGGTCGGAACCACAGCCCAGCCTGGATGAAAATAGATTTTGGGAAGGCAAGGCTAAGTGAAAGTTAAAGGAAACATGAGGTCTACTCATATCATTGTGGGAAAATTTAACTACCAGTTCTTCACCACCTTAAATGGACTAGGGCGAACACATCTTATATTTCTGGTCTAATGGTAGTCTCGAAAAAATACCTACAAAAAAACGGCTTTTTTGCAATTATAATCAACTACACTAATTGAATTCAGATGAGGTTGGTTTTCACGACTTTAAGTAAGGCTTGAATAAGAGTGCTAGTAAAATTAGATTGTATTAAGTAATTAAGGGCTAATATTTGGATTGTTATCGCGACGAAGAATCTCACAATGCTCTTGCATCGAGCTTACATCACAAAACTGGCATAGATGGCAAGTGGCCACAGAGCATACGTGATTTTTGATGAAATTAGGACTTTCCTGCATAACATTTTTTATTGGAATTGTCGATGGGGCATTACAATCGCCTATGTTACCTAATTTCAGAGTAAATAGATTTCAAGACTATCAAAGATCTTGGTTAAGATTTTTAGTCAATTATCTGTCCTACATAGCCTTATGCGACCCCGTTTGATAGGAACGGATATTCAAGACCTCGAAACCTACTTTCTATGAATTTAGGTAGCACCTTTAGTCCCACCCAAACTCTTCTACCGATGCTCCCGAGTCCTGGCTTCAGAAAGATTTCTTGAATATTTATCGCACTAAAGATAATTAACTTGTTTAGTTATACGAGCTAAGGCTATTGCACAGAGAACGAACGGATTTAGCGTTGATTTTTATGTACGAATAAATAAATAGGTTATTCTGCACAGGATGATTTAATGAGTATCCGGTGGCAGAATGCATATCCGTGTCTTCTTCCAATCCCAAATACGAATTGACATTGATTACTTCATTATGCTTCCTTACTCTACTTATTCTCATCTTTAGCTTGTGAGCGGTTTTCCTAACTGGAAACTGGGTGATTGTTTTTATTCCTCATTCTGTTTTAACCATACACAAAAGAGGGATGTTCTTTTAAAGTTATAAGATATATCTTAAATGTACCTTATGTGCGAAGTCTAGCACATGCTGCCGGAGGTCGCATTCTGCTCCTACATCCAACTCAAAGATGAGGCTGCTGCGCGTCGCATAGAGATGAAGATAAACGTAGAAATCATAAACAGAGGGTGGGGCAACCAAGTTGATCTTTGCAACATCGATTGGGTCTCCATTCTGACTTGAGGAGATGTTGAGCACGACCCATTCTTGCATAGGCGTTCTCTTGGCCAACACCAGACGGTCGCGAAACCTTCGCTGCTCCTCCTCACTCATCAATAGCGCATTCCGCCGGATGCGTGGCTGCCGCCTTTCCCCGCAGTCTGGGCCCATCCATCCAGGCCGACAGAGATGGCAGGCATGGCCCCAATAGTTGCCCTGAAAAAGGACGTGATAGTCAAATAATATTGAGTGATGAGGGTATCAAAGATCTCAGTTGAAATTGAAGGGAAATTCTCGGTTTGCTTAGCTAAGCAGTTGTGCTCTCTAATGGCAATAAGTGCTTCTGGTTGCAAGATGGACCTAAAAAAAATATAGGTTACTATGCCATACTGGCAAATATTTCAAGCCCGTGAGTTATAAATAAAAAGCTTGATATTATTTGGATATTTACACCGAACAACTGCAACCAGTAAAGCCCAAAAATGATAATTTATCCTATAGGGCACAATTAGACATCCAAGATGATTTTGATGTGATCTTCTTCAGGAAATCGCCAACAAATGTTATCTACAACTGCAATAAATTCAGGAGTTCGCAGACAGCCTAATAATCCAGAAAACTTTCTGAGCCATTCGAGCGCAAAAAGTAATTGACTTAATTCTGCTTGGTTATGCTTCCAGCCAAAATGCGACTTATAAAATTTGAACTTTTGATTTGCATGCTTTGACTACCAGCACCTCATGATTAAGATCGAGAGGGTTGTACTTATAAACTTCATATGCTCCAGTACCAAAGCATGTATTTGGTAGAATATAACCACATGTCCTGCGTCCACTGGGCTTTTTTTATTTTAGTCAGGTCCGAGAGTAGCAGGCAGGACCGATGAAACAAACTGCCAAAAACTTGGCTCTTTGACAGTGGTAAAAAATTTTTCAATTGGGAAGGCCTTCAGATGGAGAATTACTGATTACTCGTCTATCTGATCAAGAATAGATGTATGAATTAGCGGGCATCGATTGACTAAGGATAAACAGATGGCACTAGATTAGGACGTACTGGCTTAAAATATACGAATTACTGGAAAACAGCCCTAAAGTTAGAAGAGGCAGGCCCTCACATCTAAATGCGCACGACTTGATGTTTCGCTTGAACAGACATTTCAAGTTCCATCTTTGAGTTGTCCACTGATTGTAGAGACATTTTTGCTTGATTTAGGAAAAAGGTAGGGAAAAGTGTTTTGAAAATACTCTTACTAGGTCAATGCTACTCGTATTTTCAGTTTAAGTAAAAAGTTAGTCAGAAGGGATTTGTGAATTATTCTTCATAAATTTTAGGAGAGGCCAATTTATGAGTCCCTTCCAATCAACATTTTCTTCGAAACGGAAAGTCGAATCACATTGGAAGAACTAACCAGTTTTATAAGTTGCGGAAGACCTTTTTAAAATGATCATCTCGAACATGGCTTAAAAGTAGAGATCCATTTGGTTCACATGAAATGAGATCAGAGTCACTTAGGACAAAATTCCTTTTGAGACAAAATAAAAACCGATTGTGACTCATGAGGTCTGTACATAAAAAGGGTTTTGTTCGTCCACAATAGGACTACCCCTTTTAAATAGGCAAATGGAAGAAAATGTATAATGACACTTTACTGGTAAGGCGAGTAGCACCATATATTTATTATCTGAAATTATGCACAGATCTGATTAAATAATATTTATAAGCTCAGTGACACGCTATGGGTAGGAAGCCCGATAAGGTTTGATACAATCCCATTCACAAAGGATCCATAGTCAAGGGCAAGGATGACTAACAATATAAAGGTGATATGTCAAAAACCAGGTAATCCCTCTTTTAGTCTGAAAGATTTAGTCTGTAGGATTTCAGGCCTAATGCCAGTTAACAGTACTAACCAGTCTCTAGTGTTTTAATAAAGCTGCAACGGTCTGTAAGAATTATTAGACAGTTGTAAGTCATTTGACCTTCAGTTTGCAATGAAAATTGGCTGGAAACGATTCGTAGGCTGGCTTCAATTGAAACAGAATGCAGAATCCTTTGGTGCTGTAAGTGTCGAATTAAGCATAATTACTCGGCCCAATAGTTCCTGACAAAAATCAAACCGTGCCTTGCGTTCGTCTGTTCTGGTGTGACTGCCACCGTCATAATAAACAAATATTCGTCGGAAAACTTATTTAGATGCCATGCCTAATGAAATCTAACCTACTAAGAATAAACTATCCTATTTAATTGTAATGATGTATCTGGTAAGTTGTTTGAATAATATTTTTTCCTTCTTACTCTCTTCCGGAGATGGGAACTTGAACTAGATGTAAAAACGTATTGTAGTAAAATTAACCCATTTAATTTCAAGCTACCTAAAGCGACTGATGGTGATTAAGCAATTATACTTGGCTTCTGTCGGTGAATCAAAAAAGTCGTCCTTAAAGTAAATAAATATGATTGAAGACCAGTTACAAAGAATCCCCACTTAAATATTTCCTTTCATTAAATTTCTTATTTCGTATGTAAACATAAAAGAAGAGACACCCTATGGCTATCTCATCAGAAAATGAGGAATTTTCGCTCGTGAATTGGGATTACCGAACTAAGCGTACTATTTCTAATCCTTAGCATCCGGGAAAGAATGGAAAGAATTCCATCAATCAGCAATAGACAGATTTATAAACTTAATTTTAGGTTCGGATTCATATTTGGTAATCCCAACTGACAAGCGGTCTTTTTACGTGTTCTGATGAGATCGCCATTAAGTCCCCACTCCCTTATTTTTTCATACAAAATGAGAAATGTAATTGCATGAAATATTTAAGGAGAAACTCAATCAACCCCAGGTTATAATCATATTAAATAACCTAAATGTCAATTCATTTTGTTCTTTGGCAGAAGCCAAACCTAAAATCTTATATATGAGATGTTTTCATAAAAACCATTCAGACTCCACGCTGTCGCTCAACTCGTTTAAGGTGGTGAAGTACTGGCAATTGACTTTTCCCACAATGATATGAGTATAGCTGACGTTTCCATTAAATTTTACATAACCTTGCTTTCTTAAAAGGTGTTATCATCCATTATAGACTGTAATCTCGACACATTAGCCACTACGCCACATTGTCACAAGTGTTCTTGGGTACGACTCCAGCTGGGAGTGATAATAAAACCAATACGAGGTCGAAACTGCAGTCCACCCTGGATGAGAAAACCTTTTGAAAAAGCAAGTCTATGTGAAATTCAATGGAAACGTCATCTTTACACATATCGTTGTGGGAAAGTTCTACTACTGGTCCTTCTTCACCTTAAGCGAAATAGAGTGAATTCATCTCACATATAAGTTATTATGTTTGGCTTGGTGCTGATAATGGCAAGACCCACGGATGATTTCGACTACGATGCCGGTGAAACGTCTGAGAATGTAATAAGTCTACAGTCCGACGCTGGGAATTATGATAATTACTATATCAGATAATTTCGGACAAGATGCATCCAGCTAAGTCGCCTTGACAACATGATCAAGGTCAACCCCTTTTGATATATCGGAAGGGGACTACGAACATATCGAAGGAGACATCATCCTGGTCACCCTAGGTTGTTTGGGGTAATTAGAGGTCTAATAGTTGGATTTTTCTACAACACAATGACTATTAAACCACGTTTGGGGTGCGGTTGAGAGTGCAGTCTAGTTCAGCCTGTATGAGAAAGCCTTTTGGGAAGAATTCAAAGTGAAATTTAATGGCATCGTGAGCCCTACATTCAACGAGCAGTTCTTAAATCACTTTATGCGATATAGGATGACAAGCTTCTTATTCTGCTAGTCTCGAAACTTATTCACTTCGAAGATAAGTCGAGCATTGAAAATGGGTAGATGTGGTAAAAGATGGGCCCCAAATAAAAAAAAGTGTAGGTTGAGCTAATGTCTTCGAAAATTAAACTCCTTACTTTACACGTGCAAGCCATTGAAATGAACCTGGTTGGCCAAGCCAAACGATCATCCGCAAGTAAACGATCATTTAAGTGCAGGAGATCAACATCCTCAGGAATTGGTGTTATTGTTGTGCAAACGCCTCGACCGGGTCCTCCGCATGGCAGTTGGCTGTCTAGTGGTTGAAACAGAACATAAAAATAGGAATATATAATTACAAGACTGGATTGATGACAAAAGTATTACATTGTCTATGTTACAAAACCAGGTTGGCGAACCCAAGACACTGAACTGGATATTTTGATAAACGAAAAACAGTTCTATGG